AAAATTGATATTAGTTAGGTTTTCGGTAGTTTCTTACTAGGTGCAGCAACATCTGTCTTTAAGCCGGTTACAAGAAAAACCAGGACATTCCACCTTGCCTGATGGACAAGGTTTATTTTTGTTAATGCAATCCGCAATAGGCCCAAGACAAACCCCTGTAAAGAGGAAAACATTCGTTTAACACAAGAGTCACACCCCTGGAATCATTTAATTGTCATTGTCATGTCCAAACCACAGTTAGTGAAAACAAAATTCAAGCAATAATATGGTAGTCATAAATACACGTGAAGAAACACTCACTGCGTTTGGCAAGAACATGTTTTTCACTCTTCTGTTGGGATTCTGGGTGCGCACCTTGCGTTGTAATGGTTGCCAGAATTATAATCAGCAGGGACAGTTGAAGATTGGAGTACATTGTCGTACGTACGTTTACTGTCTATACTGCAACAGAAAAACAATCTGAAGACATGATTGATCACCGCAGTTATATGCACAACTTTATAAGCAGTTGTGGAATTAAAGTGTGAAAAAGAATTCAGGCTCGAACAGTATCGACTGACGGGTTTGAACGGTACAGTGCTATGCACCTGTATCGCAGAAGTCACGGGTGTGAATCCCGTTCAAGCCTGATTTTTTTTCGGGCTTTAATTTCACAACAAGTACCTAAGTTGTGTGTATAACTGCGATGATCAATCATGTCTTCATATCTTTCTCCGCAGTTCAAATGAATGATTTTCATCTCTGCCTAGTTGCTGAATAATAATAATAATAATAATAATAATAATAATAATAATAATAATAATAATATAATAGTAACTAACAATAACAATAACAATGACAATGACAATGACAAGGACAAGGATAATGACAATGACAATGACAATGACAATAATAATAATAATAATAATAATAATAATAATAATAATAATAACTTTATTTAAGTTAATAGCGTAGTTTGTTTTGTAAACTCCCATCCACTGGATGGCGATTGATTCAGTGGATATCATTTGCTATCCGGCTTTGAACAACCGGAGGAAGACTTGTTAGCCTTAATCTTTCTACCCCAGTCTCATGGTAACACCCTTTCTCCAGCTGAGTAAATATCATTAGACAATGTCACATTAGGGTTAATCAGTGATCAGCAACTGTATACTTTTGTCAGACTGTTGACGTTTGCCAATCAGAATCTTTAATAAGTCTCTTAACAAGAGCTTAAAACAGTCAGTAAAAACAAAGGAAAATACGAAGAGTTTTTTAAGTTTGAAGGACAAATCAAACGGGGTTTTGCCTAGTTACTAACGAGAGTGTTGCTCCAAGGAGGGCTTCCACTGTATTAAAACTTTATAGTACAACTAGCAATTCATAAGATATCATTAGCCTTTTAAGCTTTGATCTGAAAATGTGTTTTCGTTAGTGTTATATCGCCAACAGTATCGCAAAGACTAATGAATCGAGTAAGGTAGGTCTAAAATTCATTTTCTAATGTAGGACCTTTCCATAGTATCACTCATTAAGTGAAAATGTCTCCTGAAAGGTTGTGGTATTAAATTGTTCCAGGCGTTCTTCAAGCTTAGACAAGTTGAGTGAATTTTTAGCCTCAATGGGGAAAAAACTCTCTGTAGTGATACATTTGAGATAAAACTTTTGCCTTGGTTTGTTGAATCAATGTTTGATATTATTTCCTACCTTTTCGTTGGAACTTGTGGTAGGTCACAGTACGATGACAAATTACCACTTTCTTCAAGTACTGAGTGAAAACCGCGACAGCTGCTCTGTGATTTCAACCCCTTCGGGCCCCCGTAATTTATTCCATTATCTGAATTAGCCTTTGGTCTGTGATATGGATAACAAAGGCATTCCTCTATGTTAGCATCGTCACGTTGACTACAAAAACATAATCGTCTGGGGTCCGTCTACTTTTAAACATCCCTCAGACATGGTGCATATTTTCTTACCAAACGGGTGAGGTTCCTTTATTCCTATTTCAATGTTATTTTGTATTTTTGTGACAGAGAAGCTTTCTATTCTCTTTCACTTCGCTCAGCCGAATAGAAAAAAACGCTTATAAATGTATAGAAAAATTCTCTCCTTCGGAGAACTCGACTGTATTGAAACTAAGGTGACTAATTGGCTTTTGATGATGTGTCAGTGTTCAGAAACTAATGCATATTTATGTATGACCGCTGTGATTCACCGCCACTTTAAAGTTCTTTGTCAGGGTAATAAGTGAAAGGCACTTCTTACTTTTCATCTGGTCAGCAACTTTATTATAACAACTGAAAGAAGCTTTCTAACATTTACATGTACATTACTCAAGGTGTAAGCTGTTTAACAATTAGATTATGAGATTTCTATCGCGTGATAGTTGACGAGGACGAAGGCCGAGTCAACTATCACGCGACAGAAAGACGCGATTAAATTGACGATTAAGAAAGACGATTAAATTGATAACAAGACGATTAAATTGAGGCATGCATGTCTTCACCTGTCCAATAGAATTTCTAAGTTGAGTTACTGGAGAGACGGGAGGAAGAACTCTCGTTGCTATTTAGGTAACAAACCTGAATTGTATTTCGTTATTGAAGAAACACACTATAAAGTTAATAGGCGGCTCTTAAAAATTGTTGTATATTGATCTACATTAGCTTTGGTTTAGTCTTCATTAAAGTAGCCCCACAACTGTTTAAAACACTCTGGTAACGTACTCTAATTATGCAATCAGGAAATGTTTCTTGAATTTAGGCTTGGCGATGGACGTGTTTTCCCGCGCTTTAATAACATTGTTTGCATATTTTCCCGCGTTCGGCATGGGTTTTATTTATTTAACTCGAATTCTGATTGGCTAGCAGCGTATTTACATTTGGTACGATTGGTTGGGCAGTTTTTAGTTTTAAGCCGTGACAAAACTCTCTCTGGCTTTGGACATAATTTGTCTTATTCTAGTCGGACATATGAGAGGCCAAAGCAAAGGCGAAGGCCCAAATGTCTCTCAGTAGTTTCTCCACAGCTTCACTGTTGCTCCAACTGTTGGGTAATCCTGGTTTGACTGTCACCTCCCATCGTGTGAACACCTTGCTGAAGGCGGAAGCGTGCTTAGTAGGTCGAGAATACTCTGTTACCTCGTTCACACTGTTACAAAGAGATTTCCTAAACTCGCTTCCCGTCGCCATAACCTCATCAATCTTGTACATCCGGGACTTTTTGTGACGAATCATGGCGACGTCCTTCCACACCTCGGGCTTAACCACGAAAGGACATCGGGAAGGCTTCGGGTGACTTTGAGACTGCAACGTATCACGGTATTGCTCGTAACTTGTTCCCCGTATGTCATCCGGGCGCAAGGCATGGCGGGTCTGTAACACAAAGCGTACATCAGTCTCGATTCCGTCCAAGTCAGTGACTTCATGATCTTCGGGATTTTCGCGCCACGCTCTTTTCACGTCGACCGCGCACCAGCGCAATTTGGGGTACGCGATCTCGTGAAACGAGAAATCTTTATTCGTGATCACGCAGAATTCGTGATCCGTGTGAATTTCGACCGAGTAAATTTCCGAACTTTGCACTTCTTTAAATCCCCTTTGGGCCAGAAAACTCGCGATCTTCTCCTGCGAAGAAACGACCGTAAAAAAAGAGCTTCGAGATGCCTTCTCCTTTGGAGTCTTCTTGCCGTCTTCTCTTAACTCGTTGCCCTTTCTCTTCTTGTAGTTGCGGCCTTTAGCAGGGTTGAAATTTTTCTTGCCGTACTTCCTGTTGCTCCTCGTTGGGGAAAGCACGCTTGGTCGAGGTTTGTAACCTCGCGATAAATTTGTTTGAAACACTCTCACAGTTGGAGATTCTGTGTCTTCGGTGAATGACTTTGGGATATTCAAGACGTAAATGCGTCCAAAGTGCACGGCAAATTCCATTTCGCCATGTATTGAAGGGACAAAATCTCTTTCTATCACCTGAGGAAAAAGAAATAGCAAAAACCAAAGTGAAAAAAACTTTGATAGCAACCTTGGTAGACAGACTTTATTTTTCTCCCCTGCTGGACAGAAGTTTAACAAATTGACGTCAGCTTTTCATGCGTCTGTCCTGTTATTGATCATGAATTTCGTCACAACATTGTCAAAGTAGCTGTGGATCCACGAAGCGATAGCCGAGTGGATCCGCAGACTAGTTTGACAATGTTATGACGAAAGTCATTCTCAATAACAGGTCAGACACATGAGAAACTGACTTCAATTAGTTTTTTACGATAACAAATTGTCAAATTGTCCGCTCTCGCACGTTGACGCATTGCATAAATTATAACTTCATGTGTCCGTCCGGTTATTGACAATGAAAATTAGCCAATGAGCACGCGAGAATTCCTGCAGTTATCGTAAAACTAAGATTCGACATAACTAACATAACATAACTCTACCAAGCTCTACCAAGATCTTTCTTTAATATATAGTTGTTACTCAGTTTTTAAGCTGCTAGCTTAGAGCCATTTTCACATGAGTGTCGGAAGTAATTCGCATTTACCTTGGTTTGCCATTAATACGCCACATGATTGGCTAATAAAACGTGGGCCATTTTCTCATCCAATCAGAAGTAAGATCAAAACCAATCGATACACGCTCGCACGCTTTTTCCCGCGCCTCGCGTCAGCTACATGTGTTTACTTCGAGTTTTGATTGGCTCTTTGTATTGTCTGCGTATTTTGTGATTGGCTAGAGTGATAACTTTGGTTTCGGTTTTACGACATGCAATTGATAACAACACCAAGCAACAATAAGCTGAGACACTTCGCGGGATACGAGGCAGTTAAATAAACAAAAGAAAAGTTAACTTCAACCTCTGCAGTTTTTGAAGAAATTAGTTTATTATGGTTCCGTATATACCTCTACTTGTGTGAGAAACTTCTCTTTGAAACCGAGGAACTCAAATCGAGTGAACGCCGCTCCAATCCTGCTAAGGCCGGACCTCGGGTTTGCCAGCATAGGCACGTACAAAGCCAGACTGTCATGGGTGGGGTGATGATTGCCGTAGTAGGGTACCAAGGTGATGCGATCGTCATCACTAAGACATCCTTCCATCAACATGTGCTTGGCTTCCTTCACGAAACACACCGACATAATGGCTGCCTTGTTTCGCAAGGCCTGCGTCGCCATGGCGTTCAGAGCCCTTTCCACTGACGCCACAGCAGACTCGGTACCAATAGCTTGAAGAACAAGGCCAAATCCTGACCCAGGGAGACTGGGACGTATGGTTACTCTTGCACCAGTCTTCTTTGACAACTCGAAGGCGTTATGCCTCTCCGAGCCCGCCATGGTGTAGGATAGCGCCTCTGATAAGAAAATTACGCGGTCGACCTCGGATGCGCTGACGGTCAGAAGCACTTCAACGTCCCCGTAAAGAGCTAACAGATGGAACGCACGCTGCATGTGTTCCTTCAGCAGGCGCAGATGCTCTGTGTCCAGCAGCTCTGCTAGTTTAGTCACGCCCAGTAATGATGCAAAGGGCTGTGGGATATCCATGTCGAGAGTTGAGTTGTAGGCTTGGAAAAACGTCAGCAGAATCTCACCAATTTGTTCATCGCCGATTGTAACTGACGTGACGTTGTTTTGGTTCTCCGAAGATTCCAGTGTAGGTAAAGAAGCTAGAATGTGCTGCCATTCCTGAATGTGAACTGCGTCGGTCACTTGGCCAGTTGAAATCAGGAAACAACGTGTCCAGACATTTTCCATGTTGAAATTCTGTACCAGATTCTTTGAAACGCAGAAAATAAGCAACAGGAATACCAAAACGTTGGACTTGATGCCTGCATCAACACCATGCCCCGCGAGCCCCGTCACGTGACCCCAGTTAAGGAGGAGACGAAGAACTGGCAAGAGGCCTGGGTACGACTTGATGTAGCTTGATAGCACAATGGCTTTGAGGAGACCATCCCAGGAAGCCGAAAGATCGCCTGTTACGTTCGCTAAAGGACCAGCTCGTTTGGCAGGATTGTCACAAGAAATCACCTGAGATTCAATGCATATAAGTAAGATAAAGAGTTTTAATGCTTTAATTAGATACCCCTAAAAGCGGTAAAAACCATCATAGGAGGCTTAAAGTTAAACTAAAATCTATAGTTACAACAGTTACCAAGAAATAACGCGGAAACTGCGGTGATAAACATGACAATAAAACGCAGCTGGAAAACAAAAATTATATCGTTTTACTTTGCGTCTCATATTCTTCAACGTACATCTTTAGAACTGACCGTCGAGAATAGAAGTAACAACCAAACTTAAATTCAAGATAAGTAACTAATCAATATTTGAGGAAAAATAAAAATGACAGAAGCTGGAATATTTGCATTTTAGAAAGGCATGCAAACTAACTTTACTAGTTAGCGTTTTTTTTTTGATATGCAAAACTTTTCAACATATATGAAGATGTAATTTTTGTTTTCCAACAATGCGTTTTATTTCTTGTTAAGCTACAATGGCCAAAGTAAAAGAGTATTTACGAAACCAGTAACGTTTGAAAAGGTTCGCGAACTTTTAAATCAACTTGGGAAAACTAAACGAGTGTTTTGAACTGGTACCGAAGAGAATCAGTCACTATCAGCACAGACAGATTCTAGAGTCGTGGGTTAAGCAAATGAAAAGTAACAGAAGAAAAAAGCTCACCGGCACTTTAGCGGCTTCCACCAGTCGTGCATGTTTGAACAGCTTTTTCATTACTGGGTACAACGTTTTCAATAAAGCGATCTGCTCGTCTCGACCCAGTTCACTGTGCTGAGCGATCAGCCTGGGATCTAGCACGCAAAGGTCAAGGTCAGAATCTGGTCGGAAGAGAAGCGTTGCTGAAGAACCAAACATGGCCACACTGAAGCCTGGCATCGCACTGGATATGAAGTTCTTTTTCTGAAGCCTGTCTTGAAAACTTTGTAAAAGGGCGTGGCGTTCCTCTTCAAACACCTTGAAAACACTCTCGCTAATAGATGCCACGATGCTTTGCGACTCTTGCACTTCAAAGGTTTCTCTCATTCTGATTGACAGCATGACGTCATCAACGAGCCAAGGAAAGCTCAGGAACTGCTTTGAATGGGCTTCATCCGGGTCACTTTCTGCCGCATTCGTCGCTTGTTTGTGACTGTATGCAACAAAATACCACGCTGATGCTTTCCGTTGCATTTCTTCGGAAATGACCTCGACGGCTTCTCGGCTTTCTTCGTCCAAGTCAAACTCTTTGAAGAACCTGCTCCGAAAATTTCTGCGTATTGTGGTCATAATGCGGCTGACGATTTCAGCGATCTCGACTTTTTCCCTTCCGAGTCGAGAATGTAGTTTAAGAAAACAGCCCGATAGCAGCTCAGCTTCAGTCTCAATTCCGTACAGGTTCATCAGCGTGAGGAGCTGGCTGGAGTACTCGTCATAAAGCTCCTTCGCCTCCTCTTGGTACTTCTGGAAGTTGGGCACTAACAGGTAGGGTATGATATGCGGCTTCTTAAGAGGGACCTCACGGGCGATGCTGTCCTTAAATGCCCTGCACTCGCGATAGAGTTTTCCCAAAACCTTGTCCGAAGGGTAACTGGGTTTGTCGGATTTCATCATGAAATCGGGGAAAACTGACACTTTTGCTTCTTTAGGCAATTCTGTCCACTTTCCAGTCTTCGGAGCATCAACAGCTTGTGAATGGAGCTCCGCCAGTTCAAGACAAAGCGACGACTCCACCCCTCCCTCGTGAGAATCGGCCTGCGCCTTGTGCGCGTTGTCAATCACACCTAGCTGGTCAAACTTGATGTACTCGGCTACAAACGCGGTCATGTGACTGACTGTAATTGTTCCTAGAACTTCATTTTTTGGAAGTGCTTCATAGTTCATTGGTGGAAAGAGTTTTCTTCGCGGCAAAAGCTCTTTCTTCCAGCAAACAAAATACAAATCGCCATCCAGGTCTCCACCTTACAAAAAAAAAACACTAATAAATGATCAATTATAAATTGATAAATATGCATGCTAAATAATTTGCTTAGTTTCTGTACGGCTTTTTCCCAGGCCCTCGCAGTTTCTTCATTTCGGTGATGTAACGGAGACGAACGCTCGGACCACGTGAGCCGAAACAGATTGACCGCGGCGAAATATCGAGGCCTAGAAACTAGCTGACTAAATCATAATAAAACGAACAATAGACAGTGAGGAAACTGGCCCGAGTTGTTCGAAAGGTAGGTAACGCTATCCACTGGATAAATCACTATCCAGCGGATAGCGTGGTTTGTTTTGTTAACACTTATCCACTGGATAATGATTTATCCGGTGGATAGCGTTATCCAGCCTTGGAGCAGCTGGGACCCTGGACTGTTGTGACTGTTGTTTTTAACCAGCAACAGGTTAGTTTCAAGAGTGATCATTACCTAGTTTCTCCTTAGGATATCAGAACGGTTTTTAGCACAGAGGTGATGAGAATAAAGAAATCATCAACTAGAGGACACAGCTTTGATGAGTAGTACCAAATTCTCAGAATCACCATCAAAAGAATGTTACGTAACCAGTAAGGAGAATTTATGTTTGGAACCGGGGATCACTTGAGTATCAGGATTTTTATTAATTATTTACTTGTTTATTTACTACTCTGGAGTAAATGTTAATAAATGATCATTTAATGACTGCAATACCTGCCATCTCACTAGGGTGGGGACGTGGCCCATGACTCGGAAACACAATACAGTCCACCAAATGAACGAGTTCAGGCGCGTGTACTGCGGTCAGCAGTCTCACATCTCCCGGATGTAGACACGGATTTCTCGTCACCACCACGGGTCCTGTGAGGAGATGTTTTGTAGTCTTACTGAATTCTCCTTCGCGATCAGGGTTGCTGGAAATAGCGGAATACTGCACGAACACCTGAAAAGTATTAAGAAAATTTCAAATTTGAGTATCACAAATATGTTTTGTTTCTGTGATGTCCGAAGATTGCTTTTAATAGACCAATTTGGATATATTAAAATTCAGCCTGAAACAATAGACCTCACCACGAGGCTCCGGGGAAAAAAACCCACAAACTCTGTGGTTATTCCCCAGAACCTCGCACTGAGGTCTATTGTTTTAGGCTGAATTTTAATGTATCGAAATTGGTCCATTCTAACCTCGCCTGGCTGTAAGGTTCCCGTTTCATCCATGACACCAATCATAAGGCGAGCCTCCGCTGGTGGCAGAAGAATGCGGGCTCGACTCAGTAGATTTTGCATGCGATCCTTGTAAAGTGCTACCAACATGGACTTGAAAAACGGTTCAGTGGTCAGCTGTATTCCTGCTTGAGACAGGCTCATGTAAGCGATGCCAGTCTTGGCCCCTGACGTCATCTGCTGAGCAGCCAGGCGTTCATCGACCAGCATTCCTAAGAAACAAAAGAAAGTAAAACGAATTAGTACCAACAGGGGTGGAGTAACTTTTTTCTTTACCAGACCCTCACGTCTTTGAGTCTTCGACAGCGTTGTCACTGCTATCACACGGTATTTTCGTTTTACACTCTTCCCAGATTTCCTTCCCTTTCTCTCACCTGCCAGTTTGTCCAACATGTTGCGTTGCAAATTCATGAAAACATCATCCGGGATACCAAGGTTGGACAATAGCATGACGAGCTGGTGATTTAAGAAAACGACCTGGGGACGAGAGGTCTGTAGCACCTCAAGACGTCGGTGACTGCTCTCAAATTTACGCATGCTCGGACGAAACACCGCTTTTTTGCCTGGGAGCCTGGGATCCACGGTCAGAACTCCTTTGCAGCCAGCAAACCGAACTTGGATTGCAGAAGGAACGAAATCTTTGGCTATCTTTTTGGCAACCTGGGTAAAGGAAAGGGCATTTCAATGATACACTTAATTTTTGGGAATTTTTTTAAACTCTATTATTTGGTGATTGATGTTTAGAACAGAAATAGAAACGAAACGAAACAAAACTAAAAGACCCAAACTGACGCCCGGTGGTCTTTAAAAAAAAAGAACGTGATGTTAGTGTTTTAATTTTGATTTTTCCGTTCAACTTAGTCAGGACTTCAAGCTCTCAACGGCATTAACCAATTTGAACCTTCGGTTACCTGGCTTAATATCTTCCAGTACGTTTTGATAAACATCTCTTTTTCTGCAAAGCTTGTAAGTTTGAATTCTCACCTGACGCACAAGGGATTCCGAAATTCTCCCCACGCCATCCGAGAAGCAGTAAGCCCCATTGAATGTTTTGACGTCATCATCCATATCCCAAGATGTTCCTTCATTGACGTCTATGCCAATAGCATCCAAGGATGTCGAGAAACACTGTCCCATACGGGCCATGAATGTGGCTACGCACCTAAAGAAAAATGATTACTCTTTTTAAGCTGGATCTAAACCAAGAGATTTCAAGCTTTTACCTGGTTGCCTGCAGAAGTTCTTAGGGGTAATCTAAATACCTTTTAACCGTTACTCGCACGACTGATACCTGGCGAACTCTGCGCAAGAAAGATCTTCTTCTAACCTGGGTGCAAATCACATCCTTTCATATGTCTTCTCGTCTTGACGATCGTAATAAGTTTCCCCACTCATCTCCCGTTCAGCAAAACTGGGAATCCATCAATCATGTTAATATTATTCAACACGCTGTGCGCGTTCAACTTTTTTAAACTTAAATTATACCTCATAAGATGTAGAGTGGACCTTAAAAGAATATGAATTCATTACAATCGTGACTCAAAATGTAGGCGGGATATTGGATTAAAAAACTTAATTTCACGATTTGGCTTTAATTTAACGTGAATTAACTGAAATTTGACCGCATTTGATTAGCGTTTGATGTACCGATGTCCTCTTGAGTTTTCTCTCACATGTAACTGCACTAACAGTGAAGCACATCTAATTTCCTGTTATAGCTATACTGATATAAGGCAACCTTTAAATTAGTATTAATACCTTATCTTGCTGAAATCTCCCATCCAGTCGCGTATCTCATCCGGGTGTGGACTGGGCCGAACAAACCAGCAGCCGTGGTTACGTAGCTGACTGTTGGAGGAACCAAGGTAAAGAAATCGATCGCCGCCCGCGATCACTCCGCTATCCAAAGTCCGTCTCACACGCTCCAACACATTGTCAATGGCACCGCCGGCTGCAGAAAGCTTCGAGAAGTCTTCGTCGCGCACATTCACGCAGAGAAATTGATCAGTGTTGTACTGTCTGAGCACGCGGTTCTTTGACATGACTTCCGGTGTGTAGAACAGCAAGCGAGTCGGTGTGATAACCATTCGTTTGATCATGGCGCATTGCGCAGGAAGAAGTTGCTTTGGGATTCCGCCCGATTTAAAATTCATTTCGTCAAGCAGAGTTTTAAGCTTGGCTTCTGGATCGCAGAACGAATTCTTCTGGAGCGCCGCAGCTAGTCTCTCCAGGGCAATCAACGCCACTTTTTCAGGTTTGCTTCCAAGCAAATTGGCGAACTTGGCTGTGATTCTTCCCTTGACGAAAGGAAAGAAGTTCAGGACACACTGGGTTGCATATTTGACGTGAAAAGGGAGTTCCTTGGGTATTTCTACCACTGGTAGTCTTCTAAAAGCCTTGTGCATGCGAAGGTAAAAGGACTTCTTGTCAAACTTGGCAATGCTTCTGAGCGCTTCTTCAATCTCTTCCCATGCGCTGGCTTTGAAAGTGAAATTGTACACCCAACACGAACCGAAAGCTTCTCCGCTATCTTCGATCTCAGTCACTCGCTCCCAGTTTACCACGTCATCAATACTTGCGACATCCGAACTCGTCAGAAGAGCTTCGCGATCGTCTTCGGCAGCACTTTCGGCGCTGTTACGGTTGGCTTCGGTAGTCGCTTGATCATCTTCGGAATCACTCGAGAAGTCGTCGTCGAAGTCACGAAAGTCATCAAAATCGAAGTCGTACTCGTTGTCCTCGAAGTACCAGTCTTCAAAGTCGTTTTCTTCATCATCTTGCTCTTTCCTGATGAAATTCTTGGCTTTGAAAATGCGCGGGGGATGCCTCAGTGAGATGAAGACCTCGTGAGTTGAAGATGGACTCCGCTTGTCGACCAATACGAATTCTTGGAGCTCGCTGTAGCGAACCTGGAGCTTGTATAGATCAGCTTTCCACTGACTGGATGGGTTCGGCACCGTGAAGCAAATCAGCATCGTTCGTAGATCATGCTCGAACGCGACGCGAATGTTCTCCAGCTTAGCTGAGCTAAGGGGCCAGTGCTTACAGAAATACGCTTGATTTAAAAAGTACCCCAGGAACATGGCGTCTGGCTTGATGACAAGCACGGGTTTAGAATACTTTTGATTCTGTGCGGGCTCATCGCGACGCAACCAGAGTTTCTCCGTTTGGGCTCGGAACGGGCTGGGACGAGAACACCAAGATTGAACAACATGAGTGAAGAATTTTTCTTTCTTACGAAATCTTTGATCTTCAAGTGGCTCGAGCAGTAGGCGAAGTACGCTAGAAGAGAGCATTGTCTCACGCGCGCTGTCCTTACTTGGTGAAGCACCAACCTCAGGGGCATCAACGTCCGCGTTTTCTGTCGTTAATGATTTTACTTCAAAATAGTTTTCGAAGTATTTGATCAGTTCGCCAATTTCCTCACTGTTGGTTCCTCCCAAGATGGCGTTCTGGATGGCAATCCGGACATTAGGAACTCTTTTTTTCCTTCTTTTTCTTGGTCCTTCAGCTGCGAGGCTCTCTCCTCTGTGATGGATAGTCATTGTCTCCACGCTGTACTCATTTTCCATATCGTCATCTTCAGCTTCCGGTTCCGGTTCCTCTTCCGCGCATGTCATTCTCAGGGGCTCCACTGGATCAAGTAACTTTTGGCTCAAGTCAAGTTTCTGCACCTGACATCCGAATGAAATCGCTTGAGAGCGATTCGTGTAATACTGTCGCAGTTTCATGGCTTGTTCCATGTTCTGTTCCTTTCTGATCGCATCAGATGCGTTCGTCTGCTCACTGGGGTCACTGCAGATCACCACGAAACGGCTATCGGGTCGGCGGGACGCGCGCCCGCGGCTCTGCACAAGCGCCCGCAACGTCATCGCGCTGTCAAACCGGATAACCAGGTTACAAACCGGTACGTCCAGTCCCTCCTCTAACACGTTCGTGCTAACAAGCAGTTTAACCTCGCCTGATCTAAACTTCTTAAGGATTTCCTCTTGCTCTCCTCTCCAGTCCATTCCATCGCTTCCCTGTCCGTGGCCGACGAGGAAGGCTGGGTTCAGCCCTTCGGCAATTCCAGTTTCTTGTCTCAGCCGTTCGCAGAGCTTGTAAGCAGTCTTCCTCATCTTGACAAAGATGATTCCTCTAGAGGTCTGGTCCATTTCAACCCGACGGATGAAATTCCGAAGCTCTTTGGTGAGGTGTTGATACCTGTCACTGGAGGAGAAAAATTTTGACACTCTCCTCAAGTTTGCGATTGAAGATTCCAAAGCTCTCAGCTGCTCCGAACGACCGATAAGCCTCTTTTTGAGTTGTTCCATGGGGGACGTAGCCTGTTGCAGTTGTCTGATGCACTCCTCAAGGCATTCAACTGCATACTCGTTGCCCAAAATGTTATTCACCTCAATCACGCTGAGCATATGCATGGCGTGCTCACCTAGTGCCAGGCCCTTCACTCGGTTCTTGTCACCATAGCAACGTTCAATCAACTTGCGCAAAGCACCGCGATAGTTTGGTTTGAGCACGTGCAGTTTATCAAGCGCACGTGGGCATTTGGCTTCCATTTCGATTAGTACTGTCAAGGAAGTGAGGTATGTCTCAACATATGATTGTAATAACTGTTGCTTTGTGTTCATGGAAACCACCTCGTATGCCGTTTCTGGTCGGTTCCAGTACACCTCCAAATCCGTTGATCGCACAGGCATGCGCGCAGATGCGGAAAGATTTGACAACAGCTCTTCCAGTTTAGTTGACGTGGCTTGCGGTGTGTCTGCGCCTGCGGGGGACGCGGTCAGCGCCAGCACCAAAGGCTTGAATCTATTGCTTGTACCTTTGTAGAAATCTCTCATGATTTGATTGTAGCAGTGATTTCCAAGGCAGTGGTGAGCTTCATCGAAAACGAGAACGGAGATGTTTGACATGCGCAGCACTGGACAATCACCACTCATCAAGTTAAGCAGAATCTGATGGGTCATAACAAGAAGGTCGATCTTGTTTTCAGTCAGTGCCTGGACGGTGGATATCCAACGAGATTTATCGCCCGGAAAACGCCCGATATCTCCCGCTAAGATCTCCACTCTTAGATCCGGGACCTGAGACTTGACGTAGTCGCTCTGTTGGTAGACGAGGGGAATGCGGTCCACCAGAAACACCATTAATTTGTTTGGATTCAGTTTCTTCATACAGCTCAGCACCATTGCCGCAATCAGAGTTTTTCCCGAGCCCGTGGGCAGGTAGACCAGCGTGTTTCCGTGTAAGGCTTGCAGAAAGAGCTCGTGCTGATATCCTCGAGGGACCTGTTTCGTCAAAGACTGGATTTCCTCCGTAGTGAGCTCGTTTATATCACAATATACGAGAGGTTCCGATGGGATGTCGTTCTGTTTAACAGGTTGTGAAAAAGATACATTGACAACTTCTAGGCCATACTGCAAGAGTTTGTCTTTAATCTGCTTTAGCCGTTTCCCTCTTATTTCTTCGTAACCGCGCTTAAAATGGACGTTTTCAATCTTGAAACAAATTAGCGTATTTTCTTCGACTATGCTGATGGTCCCGACGTAATCATTGCAATGTTTACAAAGAACTTTATAAGGGCAAAATGCGACCCTCTTGGGGTCCGGATTGGGAATTTTCCTGATTTTCTCGGCATAAGCTTGTTCTTCTTTCTCCTTTCTAATGGCCAGGTGTGTTTGTGACGGTGGAATAGTAGCCAGCATTAACAAGTCCGATGTGGCTAGCGCAGTACGGCAATGATTACAATAAAGAGTGAGGGAATTTCTGTGTGCCATAGTTCAGCTCATCGAAAAGGGTCCAAAATCACTGCAAGAGTTTGAAAAGTGTAACGAATAAAGTTGAATCTGATTCTAAAGGAAACAAATTCAAAATGTAGGGTGCGTTCCTCTAGGGTGATCTGGATCAGAATCAATGATCCAAGGTCACTCGGATCATGGTGTATTAAAAGGAACCGATGAATCCACTCTGGTCACGGATTCATCGGCTCCTCTGATGTACCATGATCCGAGCGATCTTGGATCACTGATCCCTGATCTAAATCAATCAAGAGAAATGCACCTATGGAAAATTTCAAGTAGATTTCGAAAGCTGAACTGAGTTAAAGGAATGTCAAACTAAGCGAGCAAGTGAGCAATGATCGATAGACCTTAAAAGCTCGCTTGGTAAAAGCTTTTTAGCCACACGAAGTAAAAAAAAATTGCCGAAACCATCAAACCTGTTCTGCTCCAGAGGAAAATGTAAAGTTAATGTACCTTCACGGTAATTTTGGCAACTGTTTGGGAGAATTGTTTTTTTTAGTGGGGGGGGGGGGNTTCTGCACACCGTCATACACCAACTCTTGTGCCTGTCAACAAATGCCCCGGAGTGGCAGGAGTGGGGCATTTTACCAGTTAAGCTTGGATAATTAATGCCTCTTTTTTTAGTGGGGGGGGGGGGGGGGGGCAGAGGCATTCGTTTTTAAGCCGTCCTTTCTTTGAGGTCGATACCCTCGTTGCAAATTGTCCCGGGAGGGGATTTCCCTCACTCCTGTCTAACATCAAGGTTTTCCAAGGTCTTTCAGGGAGGGGGCTTAGTACTCGGTGGTGTAGGCCGGTACAAAACTATATATCTTGCATTATAGAGTATCCCCCGGGCAGGGCCCCTGCTCCCGACCGCGGAGTTCATTATTTGAGTTATAATCTTCCGTTAAAAGTCTTAAAAGTTCTGTTCTTTTATCAGCGTTCCTATTTCTGTTCTGTTTTTAACTTCCTTGTACTGACCATCACATCTTGTCATGTTTCATAATTCCCATGGCAGAACTGACAAAAATTATCACTTCCTTAACTCAAAATAAACTTTGAAGCGTTGCCGAAAAGGTGATGGTTGCCTGTTTCCTTTCTGCTGTAAACAAACCATACTGTCAAGATTTCTTTGTCCCCTGTCACCAAGAAACTGTCGGAGGAATTTGCCCAAAATGCCTGAACAAAATCAATTGCTTCCATGCCTTCCCCCAACCCCCCCCCCCCGACCCATCGCCCCGCTACTCCCGCTTAGTTGCGCGCTGCTCACGACTTTAATTGGTGGATTGCGATAGAATTACAGGACATACAAGTACTTATCAAGGGGCCGGTGAATAAGGATATGCAAATCCGCCGATCCGTGCCTTTTTTCGCCAAAATCCGTCGATCCACCAATATTCTTGTTCAAATCCGAAACCACAACCACATCCGGAAACAGCAGTGTAAAAGTGTAATGCCATTGTTGATTTCGCTCAAATAGTAAAGAAGGCAACATGCTTGATGACTATAACACAGTACAATTCCAATAACATTCTCACACCTGAGTTTAAATGAGCGTCGTTCGCAAAAAGAAATAATTTGGCTGAACTCATTAACATACCGACCAAGGCTGAAGAAAGATCTATGATCCAAATTTCGTGTAGGACCCAAGATCCGAACATCAAGACAGGCATAATCCGGAACCGCGCCAAAATTCACAGCTGATCGACGATCCACTGTGTTTTCAAAATCCGCGAATCCGCTCGATTTCCTGCAAAAATACACAATCCTTGCGCTTTTTAAGGCCATATCCGTCGATCCGAAAACCTATTCACCCCCTCCTACCAAGGCCGTCGCTACTGATAATTTTGAAATTATATATTCATTTCAGGTTCTTGGATGCGATAAAACATGAGCAGATATGAAAGAACCGTCTTTCTTCTGATTTAAAGGCCTCGATCGATCGATAAGAATTGATGTGCCCTTCGAATTAAATTGAAGTTTCGATTCGATTTCCTAGATTTCGAATCTGTACAACTTTAGAGCTTGTCTCCAAAATCTTCAAAGCTTAGCTACGATCCAGACTATGTTTGTTTGGAATAATAAGAAAATCTCTGATGCATGTTATCTTTCTGACGGAGTTTTATTCTGAAGTCTCAGTATTCTGAAGTTTCAATTCGATTTCCTGGATTTCGAATCTGTATAACTTTAGAGTGTGTCTCCAAAATCTTCAAAGCTAGCTAAAGCTTAATTAACTACGATCAAGACTATGTATGTTTGGAATAATATCATGAAAATCTCTGATGCATGCTATCTTGCAGTTCAATCTGACGGTACCCACGATCAGTGATATTTGCACTGCTAAGGTAAGTTTAGGGTTACTAAGCCTTTTTCTTAACGTCTGGCGATATTTCAGTACAGCGAGAAAACGAAATAAAGAAAAGAACTATTATCAAACAGGTACTTAGCAACCGTGGCGAGAAATAAGCAATTTCTTACCAGTTGTCGTCAGTTCCCTCTCAGGTTTTGAGATTCCGCGACGATGCTCGATCGGCGATAGCTTACGTCGTCGCAAATTCTTTCTAAGGCCAGTTTACGTAAAGTGCAGACGACCAGGTTCGATTTGATCGTTTCTATAAACTTTATCCGACTGAAAATCGAGGCAACATCTGTCTCAGTGAACCGACTGACAGTTCCGAGAAAACAGTATTGTTTACAATGAAATTCGCGGAAATTCAGTTAGCTTCCGGGAAAGCTGCAGTAGATCAAGGGACTTCCCGGGGGATCACCCGCACTACCTGAAATTAAGCACGTGTGACATGATCGCCAAGGTCAACTAATGCTTCAAGTTTAAAAGATAAGCAATCAATACACACGCACAAGTTTTTCTTGATAAACTTGTCGAAAAGAAAAGTTTTTTTTTGCAGAATCATGCAATTTTAAAAGCTTTTATGGCGTGAGCTGAGCAGCACTTAACTTAACTCACTTAAGTCCTTGCTGAAAGAGGCAAAGTTTCTTTGTTCCAAATAGTCATTTAAACAACTAGCTAGTGAGAAATTCCGGCGAGAAGTTATAAAAACTATTCCGCATTCTCGAAGCGCTGGAAAATTACCTTCCGTTTCCGCGCGCTGTCGTGCGCGCTGTCGTGGTCTGAGTAACCTGGCCTTTTCATAAGACAACATGGCGGCATCAGCTCCACCAGCATATCACGACGTTGTTTCTTCAGACGAGGCGAGCTCGTTCAGAAATGCGGTACCAGCTACTCAAGTGGCGCTACATGTTTCTTGCAGGTAAAATTTCATTGAGATTTAATGCTTTTTTCCTTTGAATACAAAGAATAATGCCTTGACAGGCACGAAGCCTTGCACCCACTTTCAGTTGGAGTTTTCCGTTTCGTAAAGTCTTGTTGTTTTGTTAGGAATCTTGCAGATATGGACGTGTTCTCAAAATCTGATCCAAGTAAGTTTGTGGACATAGAAAATAGTGTATGGACGTAACAAGATATTGAATAAGAATTTGGATTGTGACTTGAGCGAATATTTTCTGCAGCTGATTAAGCTTAGCACGTAAACATTGTCTGATGTTTTACTTTTATGCTTGACTTCGTTCTTCGTTCTTCTTCTTAACTTCATTCTTGTTTCTTTTAACGTTCAAACTATACTTATAATCTAGAGACAAAGTGCAACGAGGATTTATAACTACATGTGCTTTGAAATTTTAACATTATGCATTTGAAAAGAGGCATGAAATGTTTATGGCAAAAGTGACTAATGATTTAAGACTTCTCTTGTTGTCCAGTTAGACATTTGGTACCAAAAATATTTAGCCTTCAGGTTCAAGTATTGTACAATTTAAGTTATTATTTTACAGTACAGATCCAGCAGGTAATTATTTCCAGTCTTAATATTTTCAATAGCAATGTTGAAGAAATGTAGTTAATAATTCAAGCAAAAACATGTGTTTGACCACAAGACTCCAGAAAGTTAAAAATTAATCGAAAGGTTTCATGCAAAAAGGGCTTATATCGCTTTTTGGGCCGATTTTAATTTTTTTAGGATCAAGCTGATTTTTGGCAGAATGACTTATTTTGACATGAAAAGCATTGTTCCATAATTGTTTTTGTTGATTTGAGCTTCATTTTCAATAAATAACATATGCAAAAAACTCAGTTTTCTTTTTTAATTCAAGCAAAAACATGTGTTTGACCACAAGACTCCAGAAAGTTAAAAATTAATTGAAGGGTTTCATGCAAAAAGAGCATATATTGCTTTTTTGGTCGATTTTCATTTTTTTAGGACCAAGCTGATTTTTGGCAGACTGACTTGTTTTGACATGAAAAGCATCATTCCATAATTAATTTTGTTGATTTGCGCTTCATTTTCAAGAAATGAGGTATGCAAAAAACTCAGTTTTCCAAGGGCATCTTTTGGAGATCTTTTTGTTGAATGAAAAACAAAATAAGCCTTTTGTTTCGCTAAATGATGAAGTCACCGAAGCATGGCATTTGCTGCCAGTTGTTCAAACTGATACAAGTTTTATTATTCATATCATTATGTAATCCCTTACTGTTGCTTCCTTAGTGTAAGCAAATAAGGCACTGAACGGGCCGGATGCGAGTTTGTTTTGTCGTGACACTGGTTCGATACGAGGTTGATTTTTTTTCCGGTCTATATTTCTACTTCTTTCAAAAATAAAAACATCTATTTAACAAAAAACTGTGCTGACGAAGCTGCTAAGTTCGTGTTGCATCGAAATCCACCTTCAAAGGATTCGCTCTAAAAGATGCCGCTTAGAAAACTGAGTTTTTTGGCATATGTTATTTCTTGAAAATGAAGTGTAATAAACAATGAGGGAACAATGCGTTTCATGCTTTTCATGATTCACTGGGATTTGAATAAGAGGACCTATATTCTGTAGATCATTGGACAATAGTTTTACTTTTTATAGTTGGGAATTAGAGGGCCACATAGTTTTGGGGAGATATGAGAGGGAAAATGAAGGCAGGATATGGGATGGCAGGACTTCTAATGGTGTGATATGGGATAAAAATATTTTGGTGGGAGAGTGATTTGCGTATTTTGACGGATGGGATGTGGTATGTCTAGTTTTAAAATTGAAGGCGGAATGCAGGATGAAAAATGGAAAATCACATGTTACAGATGTTACATGGAGAACTGCCACTCTAACCAGGCAGGATTGAGATAAACATTCTGACTGGGGCAGGATGGCAGGATTGAGACAAAAATAGTGACGGGATGTGGGAAATGAAAAAACCTATGTTGGACCCTTGACTTAGGGGTAAACGAGGCAACCCTAAATTTACAGGGGTGCAGTCTTTTGCGAGATTTATATATCAACAAGGGGAATGTTGTCAACTAGGAAGCTAGGGGTTATCTATTTGGGGACATTCTACAGGGACAATATCTAAGGGCTTATTATCCATGGGCAGGGGGGGGGGGGCTGTCTATAGGTGGTGTAACTGCCAGCTTTTTCCAAATCAGAGTCGTGGGATTTTTGCCCTGGGAGGGTTTGTATCTTTGAAGAAGACTCGATCACATCCAAAGATGTATGGACATTTCTGAGGACTTCCCGAAGACTTCCAAGAGCATTTTGAACATTTTCTGATCCCACTCTTAGAATTTGTTTTTATTAAACATAACATTGTTGCGAGACTTTTTCCTTGAAAATAATGGAGAATTACAGGAAATGTACCATCACTTCTACAGAATTTCCTTCTCTTCCACTGGTTTTAGTTTACATACATGTATTCTTTGAAAGTGTGTAATTTAGGGCTGTAAAAGCTCAAGTCTTTTAGCAAGACATGACATTTTGGTCCGTAGCTTTAATTAGGCGTGAGATTAAAATTTTTGACTCAACAGTGGGAGACTCATACCCAAGGCTTGTGAAGATTGAAACCCGCAGCGTGCATGCTTGATTTGAAAAAAAAACAAACAATTAAAATGATCAACAAGAGGCCGCAAATGACCTTTGGAATGCAGATAAGTTGACCCAGGAGAAACTTTACACTGCCCAAAAACATGACTGCAAACAAAAGGGGGTGTGTTCCTAATTACGTGCTTTGAAAAGGTCAAAACCACCAGGAAGGTATAAGGTGGGCGCATCTCAATGATTATTGACAACTTTGGTTAACTATAGGGACTATCTGCAGGGAAACGTTCCATGGGTTTTTAGTCTCTGTGTTTTTATTTCAGTGGTGGTTATGTACACTCAAGCAATGGGAAGTAAAGAATGGAGAGAGGTAAATACATGTATCCATCCACTTCTTATTTGCAAATTGATTTAAAACCCTTTTTGATATCCAGAAGTTAAATGGTGAAAAGACATAATCTCATGATACACCATACTGCCCAAGCAAATAAGTATCCTTTCTGGATCAAAAATTGTCTTGATTGTAAAATTTGAAACTATCGTGAACTATCTTGGTGGTTGGGTGCTGGGAATGCTTGACTATTGCTACAGTAATTCTCCTTAACCTAGCCATGTTTTCTATCTCAGGCACACATGTTGTGTTACACTATTATTTAGAAAATACTAACATTAGATAAATGGTAGCTCTAGAAGAAAAGTGGAATGTTGTATGTAGTTGGAAACAAGGATATGAGTGTAAAAGCAAGATAACCACATTGAAGAAACACTGGAAATGTTTTAATTGCAATTGAAACAGGGACTTGAGAGTACTGTTTCTTATCCTCTGAGTGCTCTACAAGAGATCGTGTAAACAGTCGGAACTTCTTTCATATTTACTACTAGGGAAAGTGCTCACTTCAAATCATTTCTAATCTAGACTGAAAATATTCTACATCATAATATGGAGTTATGGAAATTTCTTCGGGGCTCAAAGTTTATTTTTGGCTTTGGGAGCACTTGTGCGACCAGGTGTAAATTTTACGCGCACTGCCGAAATTTTAGACGCAGAGTTAAACCTGTTAGGCGCACAGCTTCAAATACTTGGAGCACCTACTCCAAAAGAATACTTAAGGCTCCAAAAAGAGCGACTCAGGCTTCGTGTTGCAAACTGGGCCTATTCTAGTAGTATTGAACACAACAAAAATCATTCACCGTGATTTCTGACAAATATTAAATAGTAGTGTATGATGGGAACAGAAATCGAAACAACAAAGAAATGAGTGAAACACTGTGAATCACTGTGAATCGCCTTCCAAAGGGAATAGGTTGATGATCCAAAGATAAAAATGAGGCAGTTAGTTGTAATTATTTCCCTGCTCATCCTATTCAATTATTCCATATTCGGGGGGAAATTTACTGTGAATCACTGATCAACTTAAGCGGAGTGACACGATCCTAACTGCAGAAAATGTGTGATTCTCCCCAGAGCCTGCTACTTAAAAGGTCCTTCCAATTCTGCTGAATGGCGGGGTTGGTTCAGTGGCTTAGTGGTAAGGCATCTGACCGGTAACCAGGAGACCCGGGTTCGATTCCTGGCTGAACACATTTTCACTCATTTCTTTGTTTTTTTGATTTCTGTTCCCATTATACACTACTATTTAATATTTGTCAGAAATCACTGTGAATTGCCTTCCGAAGGGAATAGGTTGGTGATCCAAAGATAAAAATGAGGCAGTTAGTTGTAATTATTTCCCTGCTCATCCTATTCAATTATGTTTATATTTATATTTATCAATCGGAGTACGTTAACATGGTCAGGTGAGTAAGCACTAGAGAAGTTGCACTGTACTTTGACTTGTAAGGCACGGTGGTGCGACCATACATGATTTTTTAGGCGCACAGCCAGAAATCTAGTCGCAAATGCGACCAGTAGGTCGTTAACTTTGAACCCTGTTTCTTGAAAAATCCACTAGCTTTGGACAAATTCTAAGGAAAATCCACTAACTTTGGATGAATTCTAAGCTTGTAGTTAAATTACTCTAAGTATATAGGCATTCCACTGAATTCATTATTTAAAATAATGTCATTTTTTTTTAGTTTGGGCGAACAGAACACATCATGAACACACTAAATCCAGACTTTGTCAAGACGTTTGTCATCCACTATTTCTTTGAAGAAATGCAGAAGTTACGCTTTGAAGTGTAAGTTAAATTGTGGAAATCAAAAAGAATATTATTCCTTATTATTAAGTTTGAAATTTGGAATGTGCATTTATGTTTATATACACATGTAGTCTAATTATTATCGCATTTTGATTGGCTCTTGGTTATGATCTGTTGGAGGACATCGGTATAGGTGATGTCATAAACACTTTTTTTGTTTCTTCATTTTATACAACAGATAGATTTCATGTTGCCATGCATCTGTTCCTTATCAGTATAAATCTACTAGCGTTCTATCATGAATGCTTTGCTGATTGGCTACGCTACTCATTATCTGTACTATGGTAGATAGTGAGTACCCTAGCAGTGTGTGCTGGTTAATGAACTGGTGGCCACTTCTTTGTGTTTTCGAAGTGTCTGTGAAGAGGATTTCTAAAGATAAAGTTTTGAATGACTAATAAATTTATATTAAAACAATTACATTATTCCCTCTTGATTTCTATGTGTGGTAGTTGACTCGGGCTGCCCCTTGTAACTATCACAATAGAAATCTCGAGCTCATATTCTTATATTTTAATAGATCACAGAAGACATCAAAATGTGGTCACGACATCAGTGACACACACGGCAAACAGCTCATGTGCCACTTTTTTGTTCTTACCACATTTTGACGTCATCTGTGTTGTATTATTTAAAAAATGCACAGCATCATGGAATCTAGCTTTATCTGTATTTTATCTTCAATTTAACCAATTTTGTTAAATTGAAGATAAAATACAGATAAAGCTGAGTTTGACTGTAAGGATAACTCTTGAGCTCTTCAGTAGCACTGCTCATTTTGTTACAGGTCTGTCAGAGGCTTAACAGGAGTTACAAACATTTTGTAATCAATAATAAAATTTTAACTTTAACCAGGTTTGCTTTTATGTTTTTGCAGGTATGATATAGATAAAAATTCTCCCAAGCTCTCAGACCATGTAAGTAAACAATCAGTTAGAACTTTTAAACCTTTAAGAAAAAATGAATTATCCTTGCATTGATCCTGCAGTGATTGACACCCAATTTCTTCCCACCATTATCACTGCACTATCAACCATAGAGAGCATGAGAATTAATTACTAAATGATCACCAAAGGAAATTCATCTTGGCAATATGCTCTTGAATATGCAAATTCTCTCAACAAGCACTATACAAAGTGTATAGAGACCAGTAATGAGAATACAGTCAAACCTCCACTAACAGCCATCTCCCTACAACAGCCACTCAGGGGTTTCATTAGAAGCTGGCAACCGGCGAAAATCGCTGCCTACTTTGTCAGAATTTACCTCTTACCGCCGCCTACTTTGTCTGTATTATCACCCAAATTATTAAAAAAATCATCAGTTTGCCGTCTACTTTGGTTAGCTTAGACGGCTATTTCAAAACTTATTGAAAACCCTGGCCACTTTTTTTTCTGTCCTGGCGGACTGTGAGGTCCATACATTTACTCTAACTTTAATTAACCTCTCCAAAATGGCCACCTCTCCACAAGGGCAATGGCCAATAAAGTGCATCCTAACTGCCAGTAGAGTTTGAAACTAACTAAAGATGATTTACTGTCCATACAGTCATGTAGTTGTTACTACAATTAGCCTCAGACATCTCTCTTTACATGATTAGTTTATCCTCTGTGGGAGTTATAACAAAGATCTCATCCTAGGAATATCATATTGTAACTGATAAAAGTAACTCTAAAATGACTTTTGCAGTCTCTCACTTTGGCTACAGTGTAACTTCTCTGTGCAAGAAACACCCAGTAGGAAACATGATTGAATCCTATCTACATTTCCATCCATCTCACAGAGAATTAAGAGTGATTGTTACTCTGCAATGCAAGGAAACACCAACTGAGATCACTGTCATTGTCATCATCACCATCACTGCCCTTCGTGTCACTAGCGTCTTAAAACCGCGGTCAAGATCTCACAGCATTGTTCTTTGCACCAGTAGGCTGTGCATAGTCTTGCCAAGTTTTCACATTTTTAAAAAGGTTTCTGTATGCCAGTTTACTTGTAAATAATAGTTTAAAATCTTCTAATTCTCCTTTTTCAAGGATTTTATTGGAGCTGTTGAGTGCACATTGGGATCAATTGTTGGAGAGTTTGGTGGAAAGCTTCAAAAACCCTTGATGTAAGTTTGCTCATTCACCATTTTTGGTTTTTCAAATTCCTCTGTTTGTCCAGGCAGAAATGTTATTAAATACTTTCCTGGTAGTCATGTCTTGAATCAAAACTGAAGAAAAGACTTAGAAGGAAGTCACAGTGTATGATTTACATATCTTTCGTATGGAACTTTAGATTTGAGTTTGAGTATGAAACTGCAAACAAGAACAACTTTTAAGTTCTAGTTTGCAGGCTTCACATAATCACATCACAAACCAAACTCATCCCATGAGCTACCTAAAACCAACTTGAAGATCGAGGGCTCTGAAAATGTCGATAGTGTGGAATTTGAAAATCATAGTTCTACTCAATCTTGTACCAATCTAAAGGTCCCTAGTGTGCTTGTACTCTAGATCAAGTTGCTTAAGTTTTAATTAGCATTTGCTGGTTTCACTGTATGTGCCCCTCCTCTTTGACAAATTGTTACTATAAGGAAACTTGACAAAGTGACTAAATTTAAGAATTATTGCAGTTTTTAAAAAAACTACATTCTCTAGGATCATTATAATTTTTTATGGCATGAATATTTTTTCACTCTAGAAATTCAAAGCTTAAGAAGCCTGGAACGATAATTGGTATGTTAACTATTGTTTGGATTGTTTCGTTAATCAGGGTATAGTAGTTGTCATTTGCATCAAAACATGATCAGGTCACAGAAAAACATGACCTTTGTGAAATGAGTACTGTATGTCTATTCATACTTACAGTAGGAGCAAATGACAGCAATTTTAAATGCTTGCATTCCCTAGTGTAGTAAGTGCTGTCAAGTACCACATACATGTATTTGGTACGTTGCTGCAAATATGGCTATTAAATGACTTCCTTACAGCTTTTACCACAGGACGTTAGGGAGTTTAAGAAAACCATGATGGCCACGTCAATGGGAACATCGCTAAACAGAAGATTTAATGAGCAATACAATGGCTGTGCACATGCATTATAATTCTTGGTACATTTCTTCGCCGTCCTCTGCAAAACAACAACATGAAATGACCAAATTCTGCATTGTCTGGAGAACGTGACCCACAACAGCAAATTTGTGTAATTCCTATTTCAAATTTATCACTGTGTTCCAGACTTAGGTTTGAGATAGTTTTATAGTGATATACAAGGTAAATCACTTTACAGTACCACGAGATTTGTAGGTAAAATATGAATTCATTTTTTAATCAACATTTTCCTCTGTGTCGCCGTTGCGAGTACTTAAACTCCCTAATGTGATCTTGAGGCCGACATGTAACCAAATATACCACTTCCCCTCTTGTTATGAGGGCTGTGAAGTGGCCTAATGGTTAGTGCACTGGACTACCAATGGAGTAGTTCCAGTTTGAGGAATGGCTAGGGTTTTGTAAATATATGTTTGGGCAAAACTTTACTTTCGCTGTGAGTGCCTCTCTCCACCCAGGTGGATAAATAGGTACTGGCAAACAGAATTCTGTGGGGAAAGGGGTAACCTGACCTGCTATGAATCCCATCTAAGGGAGTAGAAATGCTCTCCTACTGCTAGTAAGCTGCTCCATTGAAACTGAAGATCAGCATTGACCCAAATGGGCCACTATGCTCAAATCCAGACTGTAACTTGTTTTTAATTACTTCTTACTCATTGCCTGGGATAGATACACACAAGCATCACTTTTGTTTTTGTTTTCACAGTGACTGCTGAAGAACTCAGTGATTGCAAAGTAAGTTACGTTTGATTGATTTTATTTTCCCAGTCAAACCTTGCTTTATAAGCCAAGGCAAGTTCCATTGATCATAACTTGAGAACAATCTTATTCCATCTATAGGATGTGGTAATACTTCAATTTAAAGGCCACAAGCTTGACAAGAAAGACTTCTTTGGAAAGTCAGATCCTTTCTTAGTGTTCTACAGATGTAATGAAGATAACAGGTTGGTTAATAGAAACTACAAGATAAAGAAACTGGGACAGCTACTGTTCAGTGCAATTTTTCACAAACTTGGATAATCGGTTTTACAGAAACTGTCCTGGATTGTTGTTATGACAGAAAAGGTGTATGGTCTGAGGCACTTCACTATGATTTCTGGGTGGGGTATAAGAGGACAGGAACCTGGGGAGAATAAATTGGTGATGGGAGGGGACCAGAGGAAGGGGAAGAAAGGGAAGAAAGCAGAATTGTTGAATGAACTGGGAGAAATAGAGGAAAAAATAGCAGAAAGGCATTGATAATGAATAGATTGCAAAACAAAAAGCACAAGACGGCAGGAGTCATTGATATAAATAAGGGAGGGGTATGGTATTGTTGGAAGCAGAAAATTCAGACCTCTTTTCTTCTCCCCCCTCACAACAAAAAAACTCAGTCTATAACATGTGATTTGGTCCTTAGGACAAGACATTGCATGGTAATTAAACAAATTGGACACCACATCTACGTATCTAACGTTAAATTATAAGAAAAGCACCCTTTCAATTTTTTTTCTGTTATTTCCAGTGATACTGCAGTTCACAGAACAGAAGTTATCAAAAACACGTTGAATCCAACTTGGAAGCCATTTACTGTACATGCCAGGGCACTTTGTAATGGAGATTATGATCGGTAAGTACCATACATAATGATTTTTATTGTGTAACAATAATTAAACATACGTTACTGAATGAACTGAATGCAAATGTTTTAAAGCTTTTACTGGGATAAGCAGGTTTGGCTGACAAAAAAAACGTGTTTTATGGTAAAGGCTATTTTTTTCGAATTCCACTTGTTGCCTTCCTCGTCTACTTTAGGTGTGGTCGCCTCATAGTTAGTGCACTTGATTCCAGATTGAATGGTCCATGTTTGAAACCATGATCAGGGACAGCGTGTTGTGTTCTTTTACTCTCACAATGCCTCTCACCACCCATGTGTGAATGGACTGGCAAATTTAATGTTGGGGGTAACCCTGGGATGGACTAGCATCCCATCCAGGGAGGAGTAGAAATATTCCTAGTCGCTTCATGCTACAGAAACCAGAGATAAGCGTCAGCCTGATGGGCCACTTTAATTGGCTGGTTAATTACATTAACAGACTTTACCTTTACCTTGCTCATCTTTACTTCTTGTATCAAATTCATGCCCATGACTTTTCTCATCCATGGTTATTGAACTCTGTAGATGGCATCATCTTGAAGTTGTAAATTAAAGTGTTTAATGCTCGTTTTGAGAATTTGTTTTTACTTTTGTTCTGTAAGTTGATGCATTCATGTTGTGTAATTCCTCAGGTCCATCAGAGTGGAATGTTACGACTGGGACAGAGATGGGGGGTGAGCTGATTCCTTTTAAAACACATTTTTGAGCAACAATAAGATTTTTGACTCCTTACAAAGACATTAGCAAATATCATTGTGAAATTATATCCTAATTTGCTGAGATTTCTATGATACTTAATTTTACTTTACCTAAAATAAATAATATTTCTGGTATCATATTAAGTCTTGTTTATTTTGAAACTCACTCCTTGCACTGGGGAGTGAAAAGCTTCTATGAGTGACAATATTGTGGGTTCTCTGCAATCAGCTGTTGCACTCCAGGATAAAACCCTTATTTTGATGAAGGAAAGACTGTCTTATCAGTTACCAAGGTGTTTCTTGATTGATAAATTTGTTGTTTCAGGCATGACTTGATTGGAATATTTTCCACAACCATCAATGAGCTAAACTCAACTCGTGGAATGACATTTGAGGTAAGCAACTGATTGCAGTGCTTTAATGTGTGAAGAACAGTCTCTAACANCTTGTGATGTTCAAGTTACATGTATGTTTCTTAGAAAGCGTCTCATTTTCATGTGGATGTTGTTTATTACCGATGAAAGTTAGTCAAGAGTATTGTAACCAAAAGGTTAAGGACAGTAGAATCTTTATTTTTCAACAACATGGCTTAAATTTCCATTGTTAATTTTTTTAGAATGGTAATCCTCACAATCCAATGTGTGAAGGAATAGATGGTGTTACAGCAGCTTATTATCACAGTATACAGAGAGTGCAGCTCTATGGTAATGAACCATGTCCATCAATCTGTAGGGTCCTTCCTGTCCTTAAAAAATTAAAAATTCTTTCAGGCCTTTCAATTAACTTTGTAAATCTATTGGGTCATGTTTAGTTCATGGTTACTTAATATATAGAGGAGTAACTATAATTGGAAAAAAGTGTGAAAGGTTTGAATTGTTTTGTGTTCAATTAATGGCTATCATTTGACATTATTTTTTTCATTGCAAGTCAGTATTTTCTTAACATTCCAATGCATGCACACATTTTTCTGTAATGCAAATAAATTCATAGAAGAAATAAATTACCACTGGGTTGCATCGTTTAAATTTTACAATTTTTTATTCAACCTGTCTTCTGATCAAAGTTGTTATATATAGGAATCTCTTGGCTAGTATAAATAACTTCAGGCTTGCAATTCTCAAATCTACTTGCCCATGTGATGTACTGTTTGGCATCTCCTTGCAACTGAAAATATAAGTCACCAAGCTTGTAACTTTGTAAACCTACTTTCCCATGTTTACCAACACACTTAAGATGTATTAGCTGGTTCACATTTACAACTGAACTGAATTTTATGGAACAAGGGAAGGATAGATATCTCTTGACCTGTACCAAAAATCACTTGGGCTAGTGACTTTGTAAATATCCTGGCTAGTCCACAATTACCAATTGAACTGATGTTGCAGGTCAAATCTAAGTCAAATGTAAAACAATAATTGAAGTCTCATTTTGGTAACAGCAGCTACAAGTAATAATTATTGTTAGAAATGATCGGTAAATGATGTATTTTTTGTAGGTCCCANAAAATCTATGCTAAATATTAAGACAGGGTTGTGATTTTCTTTGTTTTAACTTGATGAATTATTAATGAGTTTGAGAAGTGTACTTAGACTGTTTCAAGGTTGGCATATTTTCAGACAATATTTGGTACCCTTAATTTATTGTTCTTTTTCGTTTTTAATGACAGCCATGGAAGAACTTGATGGTGACACAGTCCGTTTGTCGTCACGTGGGAGATATGCAGAGAGAGACATAGTACAGGTAAAAAAGCCATCAGTTTGAATGTTAGTTACTTGTTAATATCATAAAAAATTACTGTAGACCTGCACATCTTTTGTTTTGAGAAGGATAAAGCTGTGGTAATAAAATACATCATTGTGGCTTCCTCTTGGCACACTTTTCTTGTGAGCAAATACTGAGCTGTTATCACTGTTATCATTGTTTGTATCGATTAAAACTTGCACTTCACAAGAGTGGGCATGTTAAATAGCAAATTCAAGTATAAGCACCTGAAGAATGTAAATACAAACTGTAATAACTGTAACAATACAAGCATTTCATTTGGCATTAACTTGCACCATGGTGATATATGTATTTGCCTTGCTGCCTTGCATTTCCTCTGCTAGCTACCGCCAACTGGCTTTATTGTCACGTAAATGATAGCATAAATGATATTTCTTCGTCCTCGTCCTCGTCTGAAGTCCTTCCCCCCCTCACATATCTTTCTTTACTTCCTTCTCCTCTTTCTTCTTCTTCACTACCTCCTCCTTGTCCTGGTCCTCTACCTCTTCATACTCTTCCCCTCTTCCTCCATGACCCCCTTTTCCATCACCTCGCTTCTTCATCTTCTTTTCACTCCTCCTGCTTCTGCACGGGAAAACAAAGTTGACATTAATACTGCCGAAGTAAGATTCTTATTTTGTGGTCTCATACTGTGATTGGTAGGAAAGGGTCAAGCGGTCTCAGCTCAAAGTTTTTTCCCATTGTTTTTTTTTTCAGTTTGTCCCATTCCGAGATTTTCAAACCCATGGCACATTAGGTCCAGACTTGCTCACAAAAGAAGTGTTGGCAGAAGTCCCGGATCAACTGCTCTCATACATGACAAAAAATGCCATAAAACCAAAGCCACCTCAACCAATCTCAGTTGACAGCATTATGCCAATCATGCCCCACTCAGCCAATCAAACTGCCCCATTTGCAACCAATCAGAGTACACCATATCCTCTCAATCCGAGTGTACCTCCTTTTCCAGCCAATCACAGCATTCCTTATCCCGTTAACCAGGGAGCACCATACCCAACAAGTTAGATAGTGAATTGTTTGTGAGTTTTTCATGTAGCATGTTTTAATTAAACATGCTAGCTCTTAACAACATACAGTGGAACCCCGCCTTACGGTCATCTCGTTAATATGGTCACCTCGTTATTATGACCACTTTTTGTTGTTCTGGCAAAACCCCCATATATTTTCTTATAAGAAAACCCCATTGATATGGCCAATGGTCACATTCTAAAATCCCAACCTTTGTAATCCTTTTTTAGTGGCTACTCGAACTAGTTATGTTTATCCCAGTTCTGGTGTTAATATTGCATGAACTGATTAAAAAGTTATATTTGCATTTCGGATGCGTAATTTAAAACAGTTAGTTAAGAGTGCAGTCAGTTAATACTACCAAATTTTCATGGCCCATTGGCAACCAGATTAATGGGGTTCCACTGTACCAGCTAAAGTGATAAACACAGAACAGAGCGGGATGGAGAGAGATCCTAAAAGTTGTATATTCCATGTGGTGAAAGGGTTTTAAAGAAGAAAAGAAGGCATTTAACATGCTCTGGTAATAGAAATCAAGTTCAAAAAAAAAATTCTTCTTACTGGCTCACGTATTTTTTTTGTTATCTTTGTGAATGTGGTGGTACTTTAGTATCCCTTTTAAGTTGTAATTTTGATAAATTCCATCATTTGTCTGCTTGACAATAATGTGTTGCAAGGAAAAGTTCAGTGTCGATCACTGTGTGAAATTTATAAAACGCCTTCCTCATTGGATTGAAATTTTTCCCCTATCATTTTCTCCTCTCTCTCTCAAGCTAGTATTCTCATAAATTGTGTGAAAAGTAGTATTTCTTCACTCCATCCCGAATGAAAAGAAAAAGTAACAAAATTTACTTTAAGGTCGGCACACACGAGGGGACTAATCCCTGCTACTAGTCCCTGCAACTAGTTCCCTGAAGAGTTTACACGAAGGGACTGGTCGCAGGGACTTGTCCCTCGTACAGTTCACACAAAGCGTTTTGAGGAACAAGTTGCAGGGACTTGTCCCAAAAATTCAAACTGGTTTGAATTCGTGGGACTAGTCACAAGGACCAGAGTTGGTCCCTGTGACTAGATTTTGAAGTAAAAATGGCCAGTTCACACGATGGGACTTGTTGCCGCAACTTGTTGCAGGGACTAGCCCCCTTAAGTGTGCCAACCTTTACAGGGCTAGTAGCCCAGAGAAATTCCGCATGGCATTAACATTACCTNAATCATGCCACAATCAGCCAATCAAACTGCTCCATTTCCATCCAATCCAAGCACCCCATATCCAGCCAATCCAAGCGCACCATCTTATCCAGCCAATCAGAGCATTCCTTATTCAACCAATCAGGGGCCTCCTTACCCAACAAACTAAATAGTTGGCATAGCCAACCACAGACTTTCAAAATGTGTAATATAAAACATCTTATGTTATATATTGCAATTATATCTACAGGTGTATTTCTATAAACATGTAACTTGAATTTTAGCAGTATCACTTTAAGCAGTTTATCCATCTTACCTTTCAACACAAGTTGTTGCAAGGTAACACAAGTTCTTGCAACGCAAGTTGTTCAACTTCTCTCACTATGACTCAATACACATCTCTAAAACATGATGTAACAAGCTGCATAGAATGTCCTCTATTTAATAATTACTTGGTATATGAAATTTAATCTTATATTATTTAACTAAAAAAAACATGGGACCACTTCAGCTTTGTTCAGTATGCTTATCATCTATTAATCCTTCGTTCTATCATAATTTTTATGTCCAATGTAAAATAACTTTGCAAGCGGTTTGATAGCTGATTTATTGTGTAGTCCAGAAGTCCCCCTCTCTGTTTTTGCCAGGAATGGATAGGTTCCTGCCAATAACAGGAATTAGGTATTTTTGTGTGATTTGGGGGAAAATAATAGTTATTTCTGATCAAAAGTGTTGAAATAAGTATTCTGTTGAGAGAACGTTTCAACCAAGCCCTTCCCCCCAAGAAAGAAATTTTGATGCTGAGGTTGATGTAAAAACCATGTAACTTAATAGAAAACAAACATTCCCCAACCAACCTACCCTCCCCTTCCCCCGCCAAAATAGTTGCTCCTGGTTGATAATTTGTCCTTGTGAATCTTAGTTTGTCCCTTTCCGTGACTACATTGGACAAGCTGGTAATGTCATAAGCGGGGCTCGATTGGCAAAAGATGTGCTGGAAGAACTTCCAGACCAGTTCCTAGACTACATGAAAAAACACAAAGTCAAACCAAGGCCCCCGCAATACCACTTTGCTGCCACGGCTGTGGTTTAAGAAGGGAAAGTTATTTGGAGATTATATAGTGGAAAACATGTAATGGAAAATATTTTATAATATAGTTATGCTATTCAGGCTGTCAGTAGATTGTAGTATGGGCCCTGCAACCTGAATCCCAGGGAGGAGCCTGGGATCAAGGCTGGGGCCCTCCCTTGTCCCCAAGTGCTGTCGATGACTGCTAGTGCACTGCTAGATGGTTAGGTCACAAAGTGCAAATTGGTAGGGCAACTTAGATTTTTGAGAGTTCAAAAGGTAGTGGATATATGTGCATAACAAGTTATGTAAAATAAGGCATACCGCAAGGCTGTGGTCTAAGAAAAATTACGAAGAGCGCAATTGTTCCCAGCCATGAAATCCTGGGTGCCCAGCACTTAAGCTTATAAGTAAGTTTTTCCAGTGGCCCAAGGGCAAAAGTTAGCAACCTGTGGCACCTGGGCACTTCTAGAGCACAGCCCTGTATTGCAGTAATATTATGATTATTGTGGTAATTTATAAGAGTTCGAATATTGTATTAGAAATTCAGTTTGCTAGATATGTATTTTTATTAAAATATTAACTTTCCATTTGATATATACAACAGTGTGTAAATTTAACTCTTAGTGTAATATGCTACATAAACATTTAGTGAAACGTTTTCATCGGGTTGATGTTTGTATTTTAATAAACGATCTCTGTGTTGTTACAGGAGAACTTAGTGTAAGAATTTTCCTACAAGAGTGAAAATAGATTTTACTTAGTTAAATGCAACTGTCTGATATTTTGACGGTGTAAACTGAGCATTAGTTTTTTATTTCTCACTACAAACTACACCAGGTAGAGAACTATTCTAAGAACTTTTCAGTATTTTCTTAAATAGTATTTCTGTAATGACAGTACTGTAACTGTCAGTTTTATTTGTTTTTGGTACAAAACAGCAAGATACTCAGAGAGTGACTACAGTTTAGAAGGTAGGAGTTCAGAGTAGTATAGGAGGGTAGGTTTGTACCAGAATTTATCATATGTTAAGGAACTGCTGTAATTTTTGTTTGGTTGACTTCATTTATGCCTTAAGAAATATTACTTTTACGTATTCAAAATACATTATTCCTTTCGCCCTGACCAGAGCTAAGATATAAATATTTCTCCCAAGTATTCTGTATTTAAGTAAGATAAAATAGTTATATTACACTATTTCATAACAATTGAAACTTTGTAAAACAAGATAACAGAGTGAAAAATTGGGTCCACTTGTAATTTTGGAGTAAGAGTCCTCTGGAAGTACATAGTTCTTTGCAGGAAAAATAAAGCTTCCATTTTCAAGTTTTGAACTCTATACAATTCCATTTTTGGTTTTCAAAAATTAAACTTTTTACATAGACATCTATGGGTCACCTGGAACAAAATTCTACCGCTTATCAGATCACCAATGACTGTCACGCAATCTGTGGTAACACTAGTTGTGTCACACAATGCTGAGTAGCCTTCAGTTGGGCTGTCAGCGTGACCCCAATACTAACCCTATATACAGAATTCTCTGGGGGATTTTAGAAGTGTTTTCCATTACTGTCTGGTCCTATAGATATTGGCAGTTGTGCTCGCTGGCGCATAGTTGTGTCAGTGGAATACTTCAGCACTGCCTTGGGTATTTGCATTGGTCTTGGAGTTCTCTGCTGTGTATCAGCTGCACCATTGACCTCGGTAGAATAGCGAGTTTTACTTCTTGCAATGAGTCCTTTTAACTTTCCATTGTCTGTTGTGCAAAAGGTAGTTGCTATAGGAATTGACTGCGGTGCACACATACAACCGATTGCCCAGGAACCTTCAGGCTTCTTTCTTGATTTGGAGTCTGTTGTCACTAATGCTTCTCCTGAAGTATTTACCAAAATATTCCGCATTTCTTTTGGACGAGAGAGAGAAGCAATCCTAGCAGCAGTGCTACCTTCAGGAGATAATTCTTTGTGCCGAGGCAGAGATGCAGGCTTGCCACCACTGCCTTCTGCAGGGGTGTCTTTGGCTTTGCCGATGGGCACCACCCTAAGAGAAGTCACCTCGTTGTGCTTCTTCATATTTCCTGTTGGTTTCCGTATTCCTTGTCCTTCTACTGCCATGTTCATGCCAATATATGGAGGAGCTGACACTTGAGGCTGAAGAGACAGACAGACATGCAATTACCCTCATTATTTGGTTCTTGTAGCACTCAGGTACGTTAAAAATTCTATTTACTTAAAGGAGCTATGTCACGGTTTGCGCGGCATCTTGAAAAGTTAAACAAAAATTTTTCAAGTTCATTGTTTGCAATCCGTGTTAATCTTCTCCATCCTTAACCATCCTTGGTCCTTTAGGGTTAATTATTATCTCTTTGGTGTTTTTCTAACTTAGTAAACTACTATTTCCAGGTTTCCTTCAACTTAAAGGTAATTCTGAAAGTGGCCAAAATAACTCAAAATACAGTGACTGAGCTCCTTTACGATGACTGGTTTTTTTTTTTCATCAAAATTTAATGCTCAGCAAGGACTGTAGAAACTCTTAGCCTTAAAAGTTAACTCCAATAAATACTTGTCCATTGCCTCATTCTCTCATAAATTTAGCACTTGTTAGAAACGGCCTTATTTTCTCAATATCCAATCTATAGATACACATTGAGACTTTGAACATGTATGCCTACACGCTTCTCATTTCTGCCAACATGCTCAAGTTGGTAACCCTGCTTTTTCACGTGACATAATAACAAGAACAACACAAGACTACTCCAGCGACAAGAATACGAAAGTAGATGAATAAGGTGGGACAATTACCTGTTTAAAAGCTAATTCATATCTTCCTGTTTCACAATTCTTGTCCTCTCGTCGGTCAAGAACCACTGTGGAAAAATTATAAGCTTATTAATTCTAGTTTTTGCTGAAAATATTATCTGTCCCATCACAAGGCAAGGTCATACCTTTCATGGTATCTTCCAACACTTGAGCACACAGCTTTCTGGTGACAGCTGTGCTTGGTCCCATGGTAGGACTGCAGTTTATTTCCAGCTAAGAGATAAAACATGTCAAGTATCAGTAAAGAGTTTTACGAACAATTTGAAGTTCATGGAAGCTCACTGAACCTTTCAGGGGTGTGAATTCGAAATACGCAGCACCTGTACCTTGTAGGTCACTATTTTGACCGCAAAACAGCAAAAAATTATGTAGTACTTTTAATTAAACCCATAGCTTTACTAAAGAAAACATCAGTTTTGAAAGGATTGTGAATGAATTGCCACCACACAGGATGGTAAACTGTACTTACCAACCATGGCTTGTAATCCTCACTAATGATGAAATCAGCACCATAGAGCTCAAATGAATTCTAAAGGGAGAGAAATACCATTAATTGCTGCATGAACGACTGTGTTTGCTTGCAGTGAGAACACTCACACTGCAAACACTTGAATTGTCCTTGTTGCTGAAGTTTAAAATAACATTGCTGTACTTTAACAGGCAGGCTTTACCTTGCGATACTCCACAATCTCCTGACAGGACTGTGCAGCAGCGATGACAGCTTTCTTCATTCCAGGATAGATCACATCTTCCCACATCTCACCTACACCACGTTTTCTGCAATGACAAAATTGTTTTAGCTGTAAGTATAGCTAAACCCAAACACATAGAGATTAAGAGGGGGATGCTTTCTTGCAATTTTTCATGTTACCTTTGGCTAGCCACTCCACRGGCCATAGTAAAGAGACAAAGTTGTAGTTAACAGCTTATCCATAGTAACTAATATTTAGCTTTTTTTTCCCTTTATATCCCTCTCCATCTTCACCATCCAGTCGTAATAATCCTTGACTCCTTTTTTGTTTTGTTACTGTTTGTTAGCTTGTTAAGTAAACTGGTACCTTGAAGTTTCTTTCAATGCGAGGGTAATAGGTTGCAAAAGATGACTTTATATAATATCACTCACTTCAGGTAAGCCTTCAAATCATCACTGCTCCACATGTTCTCATCAGGAATGCGTTTGTCACGAATGCCATTCTCGAAGTGTTTTTGGATAGAATTGTTGGCCAAGTGGATGCTTCTACAGATGAAAAAGAAATTGAAATCATGTCTTACTCAGTATTGTATAAATTAAACCATTCATAGCCAAGGTTAAAATATGAATTCTTCTTAAGTTACGATGCATTCTTTTCAATATCTGTTTTGAGAATCTGGTAGTACATTAAGACAATATCGCTTCAAGATGTTGTTTATTCTCCTTATGATGTACATTTTCAGGGGAAACTACATGTGGTTGACTCTTATGAACTAGAAAGTTAAATGGAAATAGGCAACCATGTTCTTGCCTCTTTGTAACAAGATAGACACCAAAGTTGCTGTTTACAGTGATCGATGTTAAGGAGGCGCCCATGCCCCCCTTCCCTTAAGTCAGGGCTCATGCCCTCCTCCCTTTAGTCTCAAAATGTTTGGACCCCCTACTGGTTAACACTTACATGTGGTAGTCTTCCAGAGAAAAGTTCTGACTGCAGAATCTTATGTAACAATCCTGAAAAAATATGAAAATGAGCAATGTTACTCCAGGTGACTTGAAGTTAATTTACAATACCATGTTGAGTGCTCATGTGAATTAAAGACTAGAATGTCATCCTGGATAGACCTAAAACGAGTTACAGAGAAGCAAATGACACACCACCACCCAAATTCAAGACAATCCCTCCACTCCCTCTCCTCCTCCCCTTCTCCTGGTCTTCAGTACGGCACCACGTTTGTGGAACATCTATGAAAACTACGCTGCTTCTATTGTTATCTCAGGGGTTTTCTTAATTAACCTTTTAAGCATTAGGGCAACTGGTTTTCAAAGGAGGGAAAAACTTTTCGAACTGAACTTCTGTATAGGAAAAATTTTCCTCTAGATGATCAAACCAGGCAGGCAAAAACCTTGTCACAGCCAGTCAATTTACCTGGTGCCCAGCCCTGAAAGAAACCCCTGTTACTCTAGGACAAATGGGATAGGTGTGACCTATTATCTATTGTTTTAAGGGCCATTGATGTGACTTGTTCCTAGGGGTAGTGGGTGATCCCTGGGATTGGGTCCCCTGCTTAAATGAAAATTTCTTTTAGCAAAATCAAAACTACATCTACAACTGGTTAGACGTTCAAGTCTCCTTGGATTTAAGGACGATAAATCGTAGGTCCCATCTCCTGCATCTTCTGTGTTACATGGTTAGCAGGGGATGTTAAAGATATGGAGTTCACAGTGTTGTGGTCTGGCATTGTCTCACGGGTTGGTGGTTCACATGGCACTAACCTCAATATGCCTTTCCCCCTTGGACAGAACTGTCCAAAAACAATTGCTGCATCTATGTCTATACATATGTCTACCTTGTAGAACCACAGTGTCAGGGGATTCCAGTCAGTCACAAGAAACCACTGTCTGATGTCAAACTTCACACTATAGATTAGCAATGGCTTTTCTGTAGAAAAAGCGAAAAGAATGAGAGATTTAAAGGAGACCAGCTGTGATCTAGGTCATAATGTTTTTTTCTCAGTTGTTACACGAACAAATGAGCCAGGAACTACTCTGAATCTGATGTTACACCTACTATAATGAAATGGTTGTCACCCTGATTAAAGTCCTTGCAGGTTTTTGAAAGTCTTGAAAGATCCTTCAAGGACTTAAATTAAACTTGACATGATGAACATCTTACAAAGACCTCAGCAGAGATCTTCAGTGAAGTCTTTGGAAGTCCCAGAATATGATCCATAAAGGTCTGGCAAGACCCTTGAAGATATTTGGCAAGATATTTACAAATGTAGAGATCCTAGCAATATGTTTGAAGATCCTTCAAGATCCTTACCTGTCCTTACTGATCCAGATTGTGTGTTTCCCCCCCAAAAATCAATACCTACCTTAAGGAGGGTAATTGGAAATTCTAAGTGAGAAGTGGGTCTCAAAAGCCCAAACTTTTAAAGGAAAGTGTGAACCAAAAAGAGAATTTCAAGGAGAATTGGGAAGGGGGGAGGGGTTCAAAGCAAAAAACCTTCTTGTGGGAGGGGTATGGATAACCTTACACAATAGGATCCTCAAAGATTCTAGTGAGACTAGCTCTTTGAAGATCCTTGGAGATCATCAACAGCAGAGACCCAGTCAAGACTGACATCAGTCCTAAAGTTTTGCCAACTTCTACACTCTTCTTGCATGTTGGCATTTTTCAGGTGTCTACATTACCTATATACTTCTGGACAACCAAGCGACCTTCCTTGTTTCCCACAGCATTGCTGCCCACAAGCTTCACAATTTCATCCAGGCGATCCATACACATAATACCTAGCAGAAGGAAAAATAAAAGACAAAATAAGCAACGGCATACATTTAGAGAATTATTACACTGGAGAAAGTTAAGAAGAATTTGGGGGGGGGGGGGGGGGC